TTTTTCTAATGACATCGCTGACGATTTGTAGCATCATGAGTATCTTCAGCTTGAGTATGCTTATCGCACCCGTCGTCGGTCCCATCGCTGGTGGTTTCCTCTCCCAAGCCGCGAACTGGAGATGGATCTTCTGGCTGTTGACCATCCTGAGCGGTATCACCACCATCGTCTGCTTTACTTTCCTCCGCGAAACCTACGGACCTGTCCTCCTTGAGAGAAAGGCAGCCCGCATGCGCAAAGAAACCGGAAACCCCAACATCCAATCCGCCAACAAATCTCCGCTTCCGTTGGGCCAGCTCTTCCGCCAGGTCATCAGCCGCCCTATCGAGTTCTTGTACAAGAGTCCTGTCAGTATTGTCATGGCGCTATACATGGGCTTGGTCTACGGTATCATCTACCTCCTGTTCACAACGTTCACGCAAGTCTTCGAGAACACCTACGGATTCAGCCAGGGTATCGCCGGTCTTTGCTACGTGGGATTGGGTCTTGGTTGCGCTACGCAGTTGTTTTCCGGCCACTACAGTGACAAGATTTACGTGCAGCTCTCGCAGCGCAACGGTGTTGAACGCCCGGAATACCGTCTACTCCTCCTGATCCCCGCCGCCCTTTCCCTCCCGGTTGGACTTGTGATTTACGGCTGGACCGCATACTACAAGATCCACTGGATCGTTCCCATCATCGGTACCTTTTTCATCGGTGTCGGTTTCTCTGGATCCATGACCTCCGTCCAAACATACCTCGTCGACGCCTTCAGCGCATACTCCGCCAGCGCCCTCGCAGCCAACAACGTTGTCCGCAGTATCGCAGGTGGTGTGGTCCCACTCGCTGGACCAAGTATGTACGGCAAGCTTGGACTCGGATGGGGCAACACCCTTCTGGGTCTTTTGGCTCTTGTTTTCGGCTTGACTCCGATGTACTTCTACCGGTACGGTGGTAGCAAGCAGGAGAAGAACGAGAAGGAGATACCCGTTTAAATTCTGTCTGTCTTTTTTTCAATTTTCTTTTTTCTGTTGTTCCATTCATCACATTCTCTGTCTTTTTTCATTCCCTTCAAGTCTTCGTTTCTTCGTCTCGCTCACTCACTACACTACGTTTATTTTCATTTCTGTCTGCATTGATTGGTTCGTTTTGGAAGTGTACCACTATTCTGCATCATCGGTGTACTTGTATATAGCTTGACTTTCACTTCTTGCATTTCTTTCTGTCTATATAGATCTAGAGCGGGCATAAAAATGGGCGGTTTGTTTTCTTGTCAAGATTGTTTTGCGCGTACTTCTACTTGTACCGTTCTTGGAGAAATCACTTCAGGTCCAGCTCTAGTCCTTGTTGAATATTACTTAAATATTATTGATTACAATAGCGCCTTTGCTGCATATTACCGTACCCACTCTGTATGCGCGAGCCATTGAATTGCATTGCCTTGAATTTTGATACATCGTTATGGAATATGACAGGTCAATTAGCGGTGTCTGGTTTATGTGGGATTCGTTATGGTGGCAATGTGCATCGATAGTTTCATCCTGTCTCCATGCAGGGAATACATTTGTCATTAAATATGATATACAACTACGCTACATACACAACTGAATCAAAACATACCATAATCCTCCACGCAACAGGATAAAATAAGGTTTTTGCGGTATGTTACCTGACACCTCACGACATAGCCACAAGAACGTGAACTCGCCACCACTACATCACAACCCTAAAGATTTTTCGCTACCGCATGTGACACCCAACCACCGAAAAATCATCTTGTTTGGTGAACATCGGTGTCGACTCGCGTCGCTTCGACGTCGATCATATTAAGCTATTTATATGCAAGCAAGCACTCTTGGCAAACGTCATGCCAAGAATAGCTAAGGTGGGTTTATGCAAAGTGCGGGATCTACTAACGGGTTGTTGGCGCGGCCAATCAATAGGTGGGGATGGGGATTGCGAGTAAGCGGCTGTACTTGTATAAGTAATATGTGAGATATGAATAGTTTGACTGCTTTGATTTACAAATACTATGTATGTAAAATCAGAAGGTCGTGTCCACATGTTCTTCTGGCCTTGTAGCTATGACCGCAATTTGGTCTTTACTATCAGGTTGATCATTTGTATTTGGGTTCGCGGCGGCTAAGGCTGTAAGGTTGATTCATGTGTTATCACAGCTGCTAATTATGCATATTTGTATAGTTGCTGGCGCTATCAGTCCATGAACTTAGAGTTCGAATAACGAAAACCGAACTAAGCGCGTCCAATTGCTCTAATGGCCACACCGGCTTGTTGTTTTCAGCTCTCGACGGAGTAGAATTCTGGAGACTGGGACCTAGAACTTGCTCCTTCCCAGTGTTGATTCTGCTCAGCGTTGTATGTTAGACTTTGATTTGTATTTGATTGTATTTTCATACAACCACCCGTTGATTCTCTTAAGTAGGATGCTATTTGCATTGCATTGTACTTGGACAATGAAGTGGCCTGTCATAAAAGATGGTGGATCGAAATGACTCTCGTATTTGAAAAGGCTCTTGATTACATCTATTGGATAATCGTGGTATCCTTCTTCAGGATTGTTCATGTCGGCGAAGTGAGTGCGCTTTGGCCATTGGATGTGATAAGAGTGCTACTGGGATAGTTGAGTATTGGAATTCATTCAAGGACCATTGACATATTTATTAGCTCGAGTATATTGCTCTCGAACACGCTTTGGGATCCGGACTAGTCGTCCGTATCACCAGAAATTCTTGTCTTGGAAATATACAATGCGCGTAGTTCTCTTTTTGGGAAACGTAGACCCATTGCCGGAAGTCGGGATACTGCGACATAAGACAGCCTAGGAAGAATTCACGGCTAAAAATATTCAAACCAGCACGATCAACGGTTATCCCTTGTGACTTGTGAACAGTTATTGCATACGCCTAGGTTAGAGGGAACTGGGACCGATAGCAGACGGAGTTTTGGTATGAAAACTCCCGCCTTGAGCGGAATATAGAGACAAGATGGGCACTGTTTCTTTCTTGAAAGGAGGTCCCGTATAGGACTCAAAAGGTAACAAGAACAGCAAATGGGGGATCATTGGGGGGGGGCAGTGCCGAGAGTACCATTTATCAGGCCATGCTCTGTCCAGATGGTGAAGTGCCAGCTGCTTTATTTGTCCTCTGTGGGCCCAAGGCACACT